GAAAGCCTGAATAAGAGACTGGTGAAAGACTCATTACAATAAAGTAAATATCAAAATCAACAAGCAACTATAAGCCAGAGACACACTATGGGGCAGGGGTAAGAGGGATTATGGTCAAAAAAAGGGGGCTGGGAATTGTACGGGGACTATAACCAAGATGAAAATGCATGCATTGTGCAAAAATGGAAAATGATGCAAAATACATATAAAATAAAATATTTAAAATATTAAATTAAATTACAATGTGTTATCTATTTTATGGATGTGAATATTTGGAGCAATGACATTTTAAATAAGTATGTAAATATGAGATCTCTTATACAAAGTAGGTGTGTGTGTAGAATGCTACTAATTTTGGAGAATAGTTTCACATTACATCAGGAAGTTTTTGATGTGAAGGGAAAAAACATGGCCTTTGGAAAACTTTATATTGGGTAACTTCGGGGCACAAGAAAGGAGGTAAGCAAACATGGGATGATGTATAAAGGAAACAAACTCATAAGTCATATGAAAAATTTTGAAATCAAATATTCAAAACTGCTCATAGTTTTAATAAGTTAGAGTGTGAATTTTGGCTACATTTTCTTTTTGAAAATTTCCCCTCAGAGTAAAAAATAAAATAAAAATAGTTATAGAATCTAATTATAATGTTATAGCTTTTTGTTCTTGAATTTGCTCATGCTTCCCCAGAGGAAGCTAGAGTTTCTTTTTCTTCCCCTTCCTTTCTTTTCCTTTCCTTTAATATATGTTCTTTTTTCTTTATTTCATGTTACTATTATGTATTCACTTTCTCAAAGATCATTAGTATAAAATAGAACTGATGGAAAGAATGAGCCTCTGAATCTGGGCACATTGATGCCAACCCTGAGACGATTTCAGTAAGATCAAAAAAGACTCACAAAAACTTTAGAAACAACCCAAATGCCCAAAAATAGATGACTGGATCAAGAAGATGTGGTACATATATACCATGGAATATTACTCAGCATTCAAAAAAGATAAACACATGCAATTTGCAGCAACATGGATGGCGCTGGAAGGGATCATGCTCAGCGAAATAAGCCAAAAAGAAAAAGAAAAATACCGGATGGTCTCACTCATAGCAGGAATCTAGAAAACTTAAATAAGGGACCAGGAAAATGAATATAAGAAAGTGAAAATCAAAATCAACAAAAAACTATGAACCAGAGACACTTTTTGGGTGGTGGGGGGCCGGAGGGGAAGGATTGGGGTCAGAATGGGGCGTTTGCAATTGTATGGGGGAATATAAAAATAAAATTTAATATTAAAAAAAAACAAAAAACTTTAGTTTGTTTAACTTAGCAAAAATGGAGAGAAAACTTAAGCAAAACTTATTAAAAAAACAAAAGAGGAGTCATTACAACTAATACCTGTGATACTAAGGACTGCAAGAAACTACTACATGCAATCATATATCACAATTTAAACAACCAAGAGGAAATTTATAATTTTTTAGATACAAACTACTATGTCAGACTCATGAAGACAGAGAAAATTTGAATCATCCAATAATAATTAAGAAGCCTGAATCATAATTAAATACCTCCCTACAAAGAAAAATCAAGGATCAGATGACTTCAAAGGTGAATTCTATTGAACATTTAAAGAACTAAAATGCTGGCCCTCCCTTGTTGTCTAGGGGTTAAGTTTCAGTGCTATCACTGTGATGGTCTGAGTTCAATCCCCAGCCAGGGAGATAGCCCATATGGCACAGCAGACCACTCCCGTCTCATCTACTGATCCCCTTAGCAATGTTTCTCAGTAAATCTTCCTGTTATGCTCCCAGCTCTGTCTTTGGTGAATCCTCTAACCCTTCACACCTCTAGCCTACATCCCATTTCTTCTGCACAATAAATAAGTATTAAATAAATAAAGAACTAAATTCCACACTTCTCATACTCTTAAAAAATTGAACATGAGGGAATAGTTTCAAATTCATTATATGAGACCAGCATTACCTTAAAACCAAAGCCAGACAAGGAAATAAATTAATGACATTACTAATGATAAGTTATTAAAGGTAAGTTAAATACCAATATTCCTAATGAATTTAGACAGAAAATTCTAACAAATTCTAGAAACAGGAATCAGTGCACATTAAAAAATACAGTACAGAATGATGAAGTGGCATTTATCCTGTGATACTTGAGTGATTCAACAACGAAAGTGGTAAATGCATATATAGATAAATAAAGCATAAAAGTTATATAATTTTCTCAGTAGATACAGAAAAATCATTTGACAAAATTAAAAACATATTACAATAAAAACTCTTGACAGCTTAGGTATAGAGGGAAAATGCCCCAACAAAATAAAGGTGATATGTGAAAATCTCATGCTAACATACTCAACCAAAAAGCTGAAATCTTTCCTTTAAGATCATGATTAGAACAGGGGTGCCCACTATTACTAAATTAAGAACAGGGGTGTCACTATTTCTAAATTAAGCATGATATTGGAAGTCCTAGGCAGAGTAATTACTCAAGAAAAGTAAAAGCAAAATATTGTCTTTGCTTTTATATATAAAACCCCTAAAGATTCCACGGGGCTGAATTCAGTAAAGTCACAGGATATAAAACAAATATTAAGGCTGCTTTTCTGCACAAGAATAATGAACCACCTAAAATGAAATTAAGCATTCAAGTTCATTTAATAGGATGATTTTTGCTAGAATAACACAAATGTTAGTACACATTTGGTGTGTTCCTACAATTTTTTAGATGATCTATATGTATACTTCTGTTTTCCTGACTAGAGTGTTATAAGGTTGGTTACCAGCGTTCTAAGACTAGAATGAGAAAAAAAAAATGGAGGATTATTGTTTGCTGTGCTTAACAAAATTCTTTGCTTTTGGTATGGCACCAGTCAAATCTCAGCCAAGTGTGGTATAGTCTCTCTCTAATTAAAACTAAGGATGACACATTCTTACATTTCCTAAACCTTTAATGCTATTCCAGGGATCTGCAGTATGAATTTCCTCTATTCTTACTGACTCCCGCTCTTACCTCCAAATCCTCTAAAAGCAGTTAAGTTTCATCAATTCTTCTATAAGTCATCTGCAACCTTCAATCTATTTCTTATCTTTTAAATGTTTATTGATCTCTTTGCTGCTTTCAATTCCTCTCCAATTCTGTGTCTTTACAGATTCACACCATTTTGTATTTTGTATATCTTTTTATGGTTTTTAGATTGGAATAGGAATAAGAATTTTTATTTTGCTGGCTATGCTAAGTAAATTATTATACTCAAAATACTATTTACATATCTGGTTAAGCAAACAAATCAATAGAAATGTGTGAGCTAAACTTGAAAATGAGATTTAAAATTTTATTCAATAAAGATTTACTCAGTAATAAAAATATAAAGTGCTGTATTATTTTTATTCCTGATTTATATCATTGGAAGTCATTGATTTGATTTTCACTTACTCTTTGGCAATTCCTTCTGGGCTTTAACACATTAAGGATGTTCTTACTTGGAAAGCAATTTTCTTTACATACTTTTTTTCTCTTTTCCTTCAAAGGGCTATTCAGTAATATGTACATATATACTTTACTATTACTTCTCAGACAAATAGGCATTTTATATATTTGCCCTCTTGTTTCATTGTGTTTCTGTTGTGACCTTAATTGTTTTATTAATCATGAAATATATTTCATAAGAATATTATATATAATTTGTAAGCAGTGTTAGGAGATTCCAATCCTACACAATGATTAACATGCAGTGATGCTGTTATGCTTACATTTTTAATATTTAGTGAATCATGTTGATTTATTGTCATATATTGATTTATTACTTGGCATGTCAGTTCTTTGTGAATATATTTTCATTTTATGGGAGATTTTTAAATGACATAGATCACAGGTTAAATTACTTTTGTATAAATTTATTATTGAGATTTAATGTGAGGAGTTAAATGATGTGAAATGAAAAAGGGTAGATGTGAGCGTAAAAGGCAGAAAAATGGCTTTTTTCTAAAAAAAACAAAAATATGGATAATTACATAGTTTAATGATAGATAAGTTTGATATCTCTTCAGCTTCCTCAGGGGAATATTGCCAATCGGGATCTCATCTGATGTTGCTATAGTAGGTGGATCCAGATTGCATATTGGGGTTGAATTATTTGACTAAGGATGAAGTGTGCAACACAGTGTTTGGATAAAGTATCTTTGCTTAAACATTTACATGTTGAATATATCCCTCTTCTCCTGTGCTCATCTCTGGATTTGGCTAATAGGAAATAATAGGAATAAGGGAATAACTAAGCAATATAATTGATTCACAGTCATTATATCATCAAAGAATAATTGCTATTGGCTTGTTTATGAAAATATGCATGCTCAAATCAAACAACTAACATTTTTGGTCAGATGTCAAGCATTTTTTTTAAAGATTTATTTATTTATTTTATACAAGAACCGGGGTAAAAGCCAGATGCGCGGGAGGGTGAGAGGATTCACCAGAGACAGAGCGGGAAACAGACCAGGCTGACTGACGAAATACACTGCTGAGGGGAACAGCAGGTGAGACTGGAGAGGTCTGCCACGCTATGTCGGATTCTCGCCGGCGGCTGGGACAGAACCAGCGCTGCAGAGGCTGCGGACAGATCACAACGCTGCGCTCAACCGTCTGTGCCACCAGGGGAGGCCCCCAAAAAAGAAAGAAGCATTTAAAAAAGGAAGGGATGAAGGAAAAAAGGTTAAAAAAGTATACAGGAAGGGAGGGAAAGCAAGAAACACATAGCTGCATGATAGATATTTCAAGGGTGTGGGGAAATATTGCCTCATACAAGGCCCAATATGAGCCTGGGAATCATATTGGAGAGAACAGGTGATTATGAGGACAACTAAAATACAATAATATAGATTATGAAAATTACATATGTTCCTTATAGTTTAGTACAGTCTTGAGAAAAAGACCTTTTGTTTCATTTTTGCCACACAAATGGACTGCCCTGTGCTCTCCTTTTTTCTTTTACGAGCCTGGGTCTCTGTGAAACAGTCTTCTCAGTGCTCCTTTCACGTCTTTATTTCTCAGTGTATAAATGAGAGGATTGAGGTTTGGGGTGACTACTGTGTAGAAAAGGGAGATGAACTTCCCTTGAGTATGGGAATAAGAGCTGTTGGGATGGATGTAGATAGCCGTGATGCTTCCATAGAAGAGGGACACGACTATCAAGTGAGATCCACATGTGCCCAGGGCTTTGCGCCAAGCCTGAGCTGACTTGATCTTGATCACTGCCTTGACTATGTGGCCGTAGGATATCAATATCAGTGATAAGGGCAAGAGGAGCAAGACCAATGAAGCAATGAAGAGCTGGATCTCATTGGCATGGATGTCCACACATGCAAGCTTAATCATAGAGGGTACCTCACAGAAGAAATGATGGATCCATCGGTGTCCACAGCGAGGCAGCAACAGGGTGATAGTGCTCTGGATGAGAGTGTTTCCTATTCCACTCAGCCATGCGACACCTGCCAGAGCACGGCACAATCGTGGATTCATCACAACTGCATAATGGAGAGGTTTGCAAACAGCAGCATAGCGATCAAAGGCCATTACAGCCAGGAGAACACATTCAGTGGTGCCCAATGCCAGGGAGACATAGAGCTGGATAGCACAGCCTGGGACAGTGATGTTCTTGGCCGGTCCTCTTAGGTTCCACAGCAGCTGTGGAACGATACTGGTGGTGAAGCAGATATCAACTAGGGAGAGATGAGTGAGGAAAAAGTACATGGGTGTTTTGAGTTTAGGGTCTATGGAAGACAGCAGAATTATGACGGTATTTCCCACAAGAGTCAAGAGATAGGATACCAAAACACCTATGAAAAATATCTTTTCCAGGTCTGGTTGATCAGAGAAACCCACCAGGATGAAGTCTTCTTTGATACTCCTATTGGTGATACCCATTACCTTGTTCAGAAAAAGGAAACTATTATGAGAATTTTTTTTTTATTTTTTTAAAGATTTATTTATTTATCTATATGAGCACTGGGTACAGTCAGAAGCATGGGAGGGTGAGAGAATTCACCAGAGTCAGAGCAGGGAGCAGAACAGATAGACTGATGAAACACACTGCTGAGGGGAGTAGCAGGTGCGACAGGAGAGGTTTGCTATGCCATGTGGGAATCTCCCTAGCTGGCTGGGAATCGAACCCACACTGCAGAGGCTGCGGGCAGCTTCGCAGGCCAGCACTCAACCTCTGCGCCACCGGGGAGGCCCTACTACGAGAATTTAAAAGAGTATAATGTGTTGACCATTGGCCATAATGTCAACCTTTACAATAGCTAAGAGAAGTTGACTCTAAGAGAAATTACAGTGACCCTATGGTGTCCTTCAGAAGCTACAAGAGACGGCATTAATGATAAGACCTTACGAGAGGTACATGAAGGGTAATTGTGAAGCCAAAGAGTTTTCCCGAGAAAAATAATAGAAGCTAAAATTTATTGCAGAAAAAATAAAGAGGGAAGAAAGAGGTTATCAGAAGAATAAAATGCATTCAGTTAATTTATGGCTTATGACAAATCATTCAAATTAAATGGGTGACAAATGAGGGACATCAATATTTAATACATGAAAATGATATATACAATTCATTTTTTCAACCAGGATCTTAAGGTGGGCATTTTTTGAAAGAACTGAAATATAATTGACACACAAACCTGGAACTTAAAAGGTTATTTTTCCTATGAAATTGCAAATATTTGGCTATTGAAAGTAACAGTAACAACATTCATATCAAAATGTTTAATCATACACATATGACTTCAAAAAACATATTTCCTTTAGGGATTAGTTAACTCATTTAGTCCACAAGCTTATTTTTGATGTCAATTCATGCAAAGCATTCCAAGAAAAATTTCCTTGACATTTTTATTTTGTGGCTTTGGAGAAAGGGGCTTCTGGTCTTGCATGCTGAATGAAAAGGTGGTTGAATCTGAATGAAGGAAATGAGGATCAGGGAAAGGAGATTTCTTTGGTGGGGTGAAAGAGGTTGCTTCAACATATATGAAGTCTACATAGAAATTTTACCTTTTAGGGGCCTCCCTGGTGGTGCAAGAGGTTAAACAAATCACCACTCTCTGCAGCATGAGTTTTATCCCAGGCCAGCCAGGGAGCTACTCACATGGCACATCAGACCTCTCCTGACTCACCCTTTGTTCCCCTCAGCAGTAGATCTACCCTCTGTTCCCCTTTCAGTAGATCTGCCTGTTCTGCTCCCCACTCTGTCTCTGGTGAATCCTCTCACCCTCCCTCCAACTCTAGCTTGTACCCCAGCTCTTGCATGCATAAATAAATAAATCTTAAAAAAGAAATTTTACCTTCTAGAATCTTAAAGAGGACAAGTTTTTTAAGGAACTTTTTAAAAAGTCCAATAGTTGTAAATGCAAATGTTTTACATATACTCACTAATTCAGAGCACATTCCCAAAGACTGTACATGTTTAGGACCAATTGGTGTTTTCTACAAGTCATCAGCAAAAATCACTCAGGCTTAAAAATTCTTCCCTTATAATAACTACATATCCTGAAATTTTTTATCATTTGTAAATGTTAAACATAGATGTAAAACATATTAAATAATTCTTAGAGATTAATATATTAATTTAATTTATCTTCTAAATATGATACTTGTCAGAACTCTCTGAAAAGGAATGAAAGCCAAGGTAAGGATCAGGTAGAGGGCCAGGGCATTCTATAAACAGCATAAAGTCACTAAGATATCCCTTAAAATAGTGAAAAAAGACCATAATAGTAACAAGAGAATAATCCCGCCCCCAGGATCAAACCAGTTAATATATATTTTAATCTAATTCTAATAAATGCTCTTCCAATCATATACATACATGCTCATCTATATACAGTTATAAGAATGAATCACTGCCCCAATTTATGTTTCATGATCTGTTCCCTTTAATGTGACTTGTTTGTTGCTACTTTGCGCTACACAGCCAAGTAAGAATTTTCCCTGTGTTTTTACTACTCTCTGCACCTCTGCCCCAAAAAATACCTCAATAGGACAAGATCCAAACCTCAACGGGAGATAAGTTCAGTCATGAACTGGATCCTTATTTATAAGAGAATATGCTCATCTTAGTTTTGTAGAAGAATTATATTTCACTATGACACGAAACTAACATCATAAGAACACCCTTCCTCAAGATAAATATTGCTTTGAACTAGAATCTCAATTTACTAGTAATAGTTAAAATCATGTGCATGGTATAGATATAAAATCAAGGTATCAATAGAAGCAACTTAGTTAAAAGATATTTTTCCAGATTTAATTTTTGCACATTGAAAATCTCATTTTACATGTAAAAGAATTTTAAGCCATGGGGTCCGTATTGTTGTTACCTTGAAATGACAACACAGTGTCTCAGACCCATGTGTCTGTTGTGGGTACTGTTATTTGAGGTGAAGATCCCCAAAGATTGGCAAGTCAGGAGAGACTGGAAAAGGACACAGGACACAAATAGGAAAAGATCTCAAGGACAAAGTTCTCCCAATATGCCAATTAATATCAGGCTCTGCAGTATCCAGAGAGCTGTCCCAGGAGAACTTCCTGAAAGATATTCATTTGCCTCTATGATCATTCAGTATTGTTTAAATCTACAACAAATCATAGATATTTAAACTGTACCCTCAGAATCTCCCAACATGAAGTTGTTTTCTCATTCTGCCATATTCATGTTACATTCTCACTCTCAATATAGTATGTATTATATATGTGAGTTCATACATGTTATAAATACAGAACTTCAAATTATTTTCATTTTTGTTATATTTTCTGTCACCTTGTCTTTCTGTCACATTTCAAAACTGTAGGAATGGAGCCTTTCAAAAGAACTTTCTACCTCAATACTTAAAGACACTCAAATACTGCTGAAGATAAATGTCCAAATATGTTGAGTGATGCCTTTGACCCCTGATTTTTCTTAATTTCAAGTGCAGTCTTGATTCACCCAGAAGTCTCTTCCTCTTTTTCATTTCTTCTATCTCCGTAACAAACAAAGTATTTAATCTCTCTATCCTGTGTCCTAAATATCTCTAAAGCAGATTATTACTTTTTTTGCTTCTAATTTCCAAGGTAAACTAAAGACTCCAAGAGGAAACATCTTTGAGTTTCTGCTTGCCACCTATAAACTTTCCACATTCATATCAATCCTTTATACTTTTCTACAGGTTTTCATAGAAAAAATGAATCTCTCTTGTTTAAAGACACTTCTTCCAATTGTTTGAGTCCAGACAAATCTTATGTGCGACATGTTTCAGGCATGCGATAATGATGGAGGAAAACAGCTGCAAAAGTGCGAGAATAAATGGCAATAAAATTTTAGCTAAGATTTATCATGAGTAGTAATATGATAATAAAGATTTTGCCATATTTCACAGCACATTAGCCAACTGAAAGAGACTTAGATTCAGTTAATAACTGTAAAATATTCAATATCAAGAGAATCTTTTATTATGAAGCTCTATTGATTTCTTTAATTTAATTGTGTAAAAAATAAGCAATTCACAAACATACAGCTTGGTGAACTATTACAGTGAACACATGCTGATCAAGAAACAAAATGCAGGGAATACTCTAGGCCAATCCTCAAGTCTCTGTATGTACACAATTTCTGTAAAAAATGTATGTTCAGCATAACATTGGTTTACAACATTGTATATGATGCAGAGGTATAGGTCCATACATCGTCAGATGTGTGTTATTATACCAAACCCACTGCCATGGCACTCAAAGTCCTCCACTATAGTCTATTGTCTTCCCAATCCCCTTGTCTACTCTCCTGTCCCGCTCCTCTGGTAACATCAATTTCACAGCCAGATTTGTTTTTTATAACTGAGATAACACTGGTTTACAGCTTTGTGTTTTATTTTTTTTTAAAGATTTATTTATTATTTATCTATTTATTTATACAAGCACGGGTACAGTCAGAAGCACAGGAGGGTAGGGGAATTCACCAGAGACAGAGTGGGGAACAGAACAGGCAGACTGACAAAATACTCTGCTGAGGGGAGCAGCGGAGGTGGCAGGAGAGGTCTGCACGCCATGTGGGACCCTCACCCGGGTGGAATGAAGCGGCGCTGCAGAGGCTGTGGGCAGCTTCACAACCCAGTGCTCAACCGCTGAGCCACTGGGGAGGCCCCCTACAGCTTTGTGTTTTAAAGGTACAGGAACTCCACCTTCAGGTGTTGTTACTATGACACACTCACCAACTAGACTCCCACAGACCCCCCATAGTCCATTGTACTCCCCACTTGGTTTTCACGTCTCTCTGTCCCCCTTTCTCTGGCAGCTTCATTTCTGTGGTTAGATTTCAGGATTATGTTGTAATATTGACTCTATCTGACTCTGCTTGGTTTCTCTATATTCCACATATGTTTGTTAGGTAAATTTGGTCTATAGTGTTGCTAAAAGTTGATATTCCTTATTGGTCATCTGTCTGTATGATCTATCCATTCTTGAGTGTGAGGAAATGTTCAACTATTATTATATCAATATTTACCCTACCTTTTTCCTCTGCTAGTTTTTGTTTTATAATTTAGGTGCTGCAGTGTTGGTTGCATAAATAATTACATGCACAATATATCATCTTGATGTATTGACTCCCTACCTTTATCAGTGCATAATAACCTTCTTTGTCTTTTTTACCAATTTCAGTTTGAAGCTCATTTTTTTTTTCTGATATATAGCACCCAGCTCTCCTTTGGCTATTATATGATTGAAATATATTTTTTCCATCTCTTCACTCTCAGTCAATGCACATTGTTAAGACTAAAATGAGTCTGTTGTAAGAAGCATATTGTTGGATGTCAATTTTTTAATCCATTCATTCTATATCTTAATTAATTTTTTGTACTTAAATGAATTAAATATATTTTGTAACATTTTTATTGAGG